ATGACAACAGTTCAATCTTTTATTGGTGTTGCTTCCTCTTCTAACATCAAATGTTATTTTTGTCTATGCGAAGAATGTGAGCAGCAACATGATTATTTTATTAGTCGTGTTAAAGAACTCACTGATATTTTTAAGGAAATGACTTATAATATTGATGTCCATACATCCAAGAAGATTTCACAACCTTTGAAGTGTAGAAGGTTGAAAAAATCTATTTCCCAATCACTATCTATAATTAGTGAAAGAAAAAAATAAATGACTACTGCTCCAGTATCACACTCAAACCCAAAAGGCAAGGAGAAGGAGGAGGAGAAGGAGAAGAAGAAGGAGCAGGAGAAGGAGAAGGAGAAGGAGAAGGGGCAAGAGAAGGAGAAGGAGAAAGTGAAAAAGAAAGAGAAGAAAGTCGAAGTCGTCAATTGTGATGTGAAGCAACAATATCCATTTGAAGGTTTTAACATTGACGGTGAGGGTCCAACTGAACTAATGTCATCCTTCTCGGAATGGATAAACAAGGGTCTTTACAAGCATCATGCAAAAAAGTAAAGTCGTTCAACTATTATTAGTATTTCTTCTTGTTGTCCACTAAATAATTATTTATAATGATTACACAATTGCAGAAGAGACAAGGACGGTCACTACTTAGCCAATTGCTAGGATCTTGAGTTCAAACAACTTGATTTTGTAGTTGCATTTTCAAAGAAGAAGGATTGGTTTTACGTAATGTCTCAACCCAATAAGTACTGGACTGATCAAGTAAATCCATGCCCACTTTATCTTTTGATTAAGACATGATTACATATAAATTGATACAGAAATACACTTGTTGATGCATCTGTGCAACATGTGGATGTCATTTTATACTATTTGCAGAAGACGTCGAAGCAACAGAGTCATTCTAAATATCGATATACCACTACTAATTGTTTTTTTCAAAACATACATTGATAATGCCAGTGTTATTTCTGAATATGAGAATAAAATTGTTGGCACTATCAAAGGGTTTGGTATACCTAGTGGACTGCCTTGGCACCTCATCTAGGACTAAGAGAAAATTGTTCTCCGGGATTCAAAAGTTGTTTACATTGTTGTCAAAGTACCTTGAATTTTTTTTATCAAAAAGACCGAACCAACTGGTCAGTTCTTGAATCTTACCAAGAAAAGAACAAATCTCACCCATTCGAAGTCAGACATGTTACTGGTATTGCCCAACAAACAAGTAATAGTCTGTAAGTATCATATTAATTGTTTTGTCTTACCACTATTGAAATATGATGTTATTGTATTTTCTAATTGATGATATACCATAAATAGATTGTGGACTTTTTGTTGCTGCATACGCTGAGTTTTGTCCATAAAGTAGGCGCTTTACTAGCCTCACCCTTAGCTAAGGTAGCCTAAATTCAATAAGAAGAGTTTTTAGATTCTTGGATACTAAGAACCCTTTTGGTTATTGTATAATGCTCAACCTAATATACGATTAACTAGTTTATTCATGTATTAAGTTTTTATTAAGCATATAGAGGATAAGTGAGTTAGAGTTGAGCTGAGCTGTCAAGATTGTTATGATGCATATAACTGTCACATAGTTAGTGGTTAGATATTTTCTGTTAGTTAGTTATTGTATTAGATGTACAATAAGTTAAGAGAAGGTTAGCTAGGTACTAGTATATATAAATACACTGAAATGTACAAAATCAGTTTCAATTTTCATTATGCAAAACAAGAAAAATTCTCAATTCTCCCTGTTTCATACATCAAATTGTATGGACTGTTGATATTTTGATATGGTCCTTCTGGTGAATATGTCGTAAGGATTGAGAGATTGGTATATGTAATTCTGGGAATCTACTTCAGCGGCGAGGAACAATCATAATCATCATCTATTTATATCCTCTTCGGACGTTGGTGGTGCCGGTGGTGTGTAAATTGGGATTCAATTCGTAGGAATGAAGAATTATACATTTTGGAGTCGAGCAATACGATTGCATTTGTTAACTAGAAATAAATTGGGTTTCATAGATGGTACAATCAAGCGAGATGATTTTATAACTAAATTTGAGAAGTAGGATTGGGCTTGATGTAATGCGATGGTGATTTCATGGATCGTAAAAAATATAAGTAAGGAACTTGTTAAATGATAGTATAGTGATTTGAAGGAGCGATTTGACAATGTCAAGCATTTATCATCTATATAAAGCAATTGCAATATTGACACGAAGTGTTTCCCCTGTTGTTGTGTATTTCTCGAAGTTAGAGGATCTATAGGATGAATTGATTTAATTACACCACCTTCTTGTTGTGATTGTCAACATCGAAGGATTATATTGATGGTTTGCTGAGGTAACGACTTGTACAATTTCTCATGGGGCTCATCGATGGCTATAATCAGGCTCGTTGCCAAATCCTCATGATGAACCCTATTCTAACTATTAATCAGTGTTATGCGATGATCATTCAGGATGAGAGTTAGAAGGTTTTGTCTGGAGAGCAATTTGATGATGGTTCAATGAATGAAGCCAGGGGCGGACCTAGGTGGACCCAAGGGGTTCACTCGAAGCCCCTCGTCAAAAAATTACATTGTATATATAACGTCAAATTCTGATATTATGCGTATATATATTAAAATGAACTCCCTAAAAATAGTGGATAAGTGGTTCAACAAATGCCCCTAGGTCAAAGGTTTGAATCTCATGGAAGACATTTTTTCCCTCCTTTAAATACTTTGGAAAATGGAACTTTTGAGCTTAGACTTTCATCTTCTTTTTCATTATTTTTTCCTTTTGTTCCATTTCTTCTTTTTAATTTGTTTTTGTTTAAATTTATTAGACACATTCTTTTTTTTATTTTTTTTATATCTATTATTCATTTTGTTTCAACGTAACTCTTTTATCATATACTAACTTGAATAACTCTTTTAAAAAATGATGAATTATATTTAACTAGAAATTGAGATAGAAATATAATTATTTAAAAGAAAAAAAAGGTAAATTAGATGTAATTGAATGAAGAAACTTAAATATCGTCAACATCCTTTCAAAAATATTAATTTATAGAATTCATGAAATTTCTTTTATTTTTTTAATTCTATTTTAGAGAGATGGAAACTAAACATATTTGATTTATTCGTTATTTGTTTTTTTTTATAAATTATGACTAACCTAGTAAATTGAACTATATGAACTAAAAAAATAAATGATGCTATTTATTTATCTTCTGAATATGCATCATAATATTAGTAACACTATTTTTACACACTTTTAGAAAATCTTGACGATTTTCATAGTAATATGTGATTGAATGGATGCTAAATTAATTTTTTTTTAAAGTGAAAAATAAAGTAAAACATTACAAAATAAAAGTATAAAAAGCACAAGAAATTTAAGAATGCTCGATGAAGCATGATAAAAGTAGAAAGAAATGATTAAATACGGTATGATAAAGTAAGTTAAATTTAGCATTATAAGGTAAATATCTTTCTTCCCCGTCTTGCTCCCATTTTCATCAGTTAATTTTCACGTGTTTTAGGAGTTAACTTATGTAATACAGTCGATTGTCCTCGAAATCTTTGATTAGTTTAGTCTTTATTTTTATGAACCAATGAAATATCTATGGTTCTAGTACAAAGAGCCTGCCAAGGGACTACTCGCTCACCACGCACTTGTATTACCACCTGAACTTCGTACTATTTCACATGTCTTAGCTTAAGCTAGCACATCCACAATTGATAGTTAATAGTGGAGCTACTAATCACATGGTGAGTGATAGCTCATTGTTTAACAGTTGCCATATCAGGAAGAGTTCAGTTACTTAATGGTGAATCAGCTGTGATTACTCAGTCAGGTAATTGATAGTTAGAAAGAGGTAATGTAGTTTAAGATGTATTGTGTGTGCCTGAACTCAAATTCAACCTTTTGTCTGTAGCAAAATTAACAAAAAACTGCAATATTGTACTTTATTTTTTCCTGATTTCTTTATTTCTTCTTTCTCCAAGACCTCTTCAATGGGAAGGTGAGGGGATTTGGTGCACCTCTGTGAGGTTATAAATATGAATTTTTTATCTATCTTGTTTTATTTTCCTTTCTAAATTGGTGGACCTATAATTTTAAAACTTTAATGATTTTCAGTGATAATAAATATCAAACCGATCAAAATTTACATCTTAGATTCACTTTTTCGTAATAGTCCACCCATCATCTCAAAATCTTGAATACGCCTCTGGGCCTCTATTACCATCTTTTGAAAAAATAGGTTGAGAGGCAAGCCCCCTCCGCCGAAAGTAAGAAAATAACTAGCGATTTAGATGATTAGATAGTTAGAATTAATTTTTTAAAATAAAGGTCAATAGATTTTGTTAAAGTAAGTTGCCTACTAACATAAAAGTCATCATAGGAGTGATATACATAAACACTATTAGTACTGTTAATTTGTTGCAAGCTAAAGTATTTATTGAGTAAATTCATCAATTACTTGAGTAAAATTATTTTGCTCCTTAGATGGTAGTGTGATGGTAAGTTATCAATTATCATGTACCTCTTTGAAGTACATTTTTTATCTTCAAAATTTAATGTTATTTTTAAAAAGTTTTATACTTAATAATATAACAGACCCACAATAATTTGTTCTTTCTATACACATTTATAATTAATTAAAGTGAGACACACGTGCTACACTAAACTAGTATATTAATGATGGAAAACCCCTTATACAAGCTTGGTAGAGAACCTACCCAAATTACTTGAAAAGACTCACTTGTATGAAGGATTTTTAATACCATCATGACATGCATCTGCATTACAAAAAGGATGAAATTGAAATCCACAGTAGGAATTCTACTACTGTAATGGTAGTCTCTTGCTGTAAACAATTGGTACATTAATGAGTAATGACTATCTCCTCTACCTTCTTGTGTTTCACCTCCATGAACAAGAGTCAAATTTCTCTTATGCAAAATTTGTGTCAAGCATCCAATTTGCCTTTGTAATACAAGTCACAATTTCGTTTACCTGCAAGCAGTCGTCTCAAAGAAGTCTTAGGACGGTTCATAAAGACCCAACATATGCCCATCCACACACCTCAAGGCAGCAACCTACGAGAACCATATACAGTATGTGATAGTCAGCTTTCATGAACATAAATGATGGGGAGAAACCGGTGCTGATTGCACAACAAAATTCTGAATCAATATGTAAATAACAAGCATAAACCAGTAATAGATTGCTGGTCAACAAATATAAGCAAACCACATAGATATGAACCATTCCACATCGAGAAGCACAGCAAATTTCACATTTTATGCTAGTTGACAGCAGAATTTGCTATCACTTGCTCGGCTAAAAAGGGAAAAAATAGAATGCCTAATTGGTGAAACATAAATCACAGCTAGCAACTAGAGCAATAGTTCTGATTATTCAATAATGATATTAGTACAATAACAGTGATACTAATGCTTTGAAGCAACAATAAAGGAGAAGAGAAACCTTATGAAATTTTGGTTACCTTTCCATGGATTTCATATTTGATGGGGCCATCCAACTCAGCCCCTAAAGCCATTAGCTTGGTCACCGAGTTGTTTATATCACCAACTGTAAAGGATAGGAGGGATGAGTATCCCTTCTGCACAACAATGTCGCTGTAAAACTAATGTTAGCAGTTAACTGGTTGTATGATGTTCAATAAACAGAAGAAGAATCACAAAAGAAAAAAGTGACCGATTGATGCGAAATAATTTTACTCAGTAAGCAAAGACAGACAATTGTCATAGTTAATGTATGAGTTTGAGCTGCAGACAAAAACTTGAAGTAACAGCTGGCAACAATGTGAAGGCTAGTGCATAAAGTTAAGACAAAAGAACAAAAAGGAAAAAGGACCATAGGCTCATCACACACATTCTCGGCTCCTGAGAACTAATTAAGAAACAGATGATTGGATAGAGGAGAAATGGCTGAAAATGCAGCAGAATACAGTACGCAAAGGATATCAAACAAGGCTACCATATGTCTGAATGCAAACTAAACAAACTAAGCTTAAGGCATATCCAGGACTGTGAAGGTGTAAGAGCTGAGGTTTATCATAACTTGACCTTATCTTGACATGTACAACTCTATTAAACGACAAATCATCCTTATACACACTGAACTTGCCTTTGTACATATACTAGATGGTTCATAGTTGCACTAGAAGGGCTGGAATGTTCTAACACTTAAGCATGTATGGATGTGGTTAAAACTTAGATCTTCCTAGACTTTCTGACCACTCATTACAGCTTAAGAATCTGATCCAAGATGTGTCTTCTGTCTGGTAGCCCACAAATATCCAGCATAGTATTAGTTACTCTCAAAGGAGCTTGAGTGAGCTGCTTTGCATCATTATCTACAACGCCTATAAACTAATTATCCTATCAGAGCAACGTGTGATTCCTCAATAGAACACCAGCATAATGTCAGATTGCTAATATGATATGATGGTATATCATACTTCGGAAGGAACTTCAATGAGTACCTGTTGACATCATTGAAAAATGATTGGAACCCAAACTAGACATAATTTACAATGCCTAGTGCAAAATTTGATTTTATTATTCCTCCTCACAAACAAATTTCCTGCAAGAATTGTTCCTTCGTATGTGATTCCTGTTCATATGCCTGATCCGTTGTCATGGAATGGAGCTCCGGATGGTAGATCCACTGTCAAAAAAGGTTATCTACTTCTCTCCAGTTATAGTGATTTAAACTCTTCCTGGCCTTGGAAAAGTGCAGCCCCCTCCAAGGTCATGTGCTTCACTTGGTTGGTAACAAAAGAAGCAGTTCTAACACAGTGCAATCTGCAAAAAAGAGGTCTGATAATCTGATGCAGCAGATGCTCACTCTGCGAACATCAGTTAAAAGATGCCAACCATCTTCCTCCATTGCTCATTCACCTCCCAATTATGGCAATTTTTTTCTTCAACGTCCTCGGCCTTAAATTGACAATGCCCTATTCTACCTTGGATTTTTTTTCATGCTAGCATAGAAAAGGTCTAGGAAACACGTCAATCAGGTTATGGAGCATGATTCAAGCAGCTATCTGGTGGACAATCTGGAAGGAAAGGAACACTAGAATCTTTGAGAACAAGGAGTCATGTTAGATTTTTTTAGCAGATAACAAAACCTGCAGTGTGGTTATTCTGTACATTCTCCTCACCACTTACTTGATGTTGTTTATCTATATATTCATCTTTCACCGATCAAAAAAAAGAAGAAAAAACCAGCATTGCACATGTGACTCATTATGATGTTAAAAAAAAATCTAATCCAATTAACTATTACTAAAGAAATACTTCTTTTTGTAAAGATATGAACCAATGATCTAAAAAGCCATGCCACTAGCAAAATTGTTAGCACATTAGGATTAGGTAGCAAAGTGAGAATTTGAATCGAAACAATTAATGTAACTTCCTTAAGCACCCTACTTCCTATAAAAAAAGATTATGACCAGAGAAAGTTCTCAAAGCCACCTAGTATGAATTGCATTACAAAATTAGTATAAGCACGCTCAACTCCCAATACCAAAATGAGAATCTCGATACATCTTGATCCTCAATCAAATATTTATGGCATAGGCGGATAGTTAAAGTAGCTCAAACCATTTTGAGCAGAGTACTCCATATAAAATTAGCTAGGGAAAAGATACATATAAAACCATACATCTTGAAAAGATGACAACATCAATTCTAGAAAATCACCCTCAGTAAGTGACATCATTAAAATTTTGTTCCAGCACACTTAAATATAATCCTAGAAGCCCAAGATAAGAACATGACAACTATCTTGAGCACCCTAAAACTACTTTTTAGATAAGCATCCAACAAGAGAAAGACCTCGACGGATGCATTGAGAACATACTCAAAATCCCTGAAATTCAACCAATGATTGGGAGCTGCTAGAGTTTCTCATATGGCTTTCCTGTTACATCACCCGTCAGCAGCCACCCAAAGAAATACTCCCAATGTTCCAAAGTAATTTTGAAAAAGGTAATTTTGTATTAAATATGTTCCAAGGAGGTACTACAGTAGTACAAGGAAGTTTTGTTCCGTATATAGGTTGAAGGAGTACATAACTTCAGAAAAAGAAACAAATCAATTATTATTTTCTTCTTACACAGCAAGAAGGACTCTTAAGACATATGTTCTTTCTTCCCACTAAAGCATCTACTATTTCTCTAGATAAATACTCCAAAATATGCATATCGGAACTGCTCCTCAAAACTGCCTTCAACTCTAAGGGTGTGTTTGATATGAAGGAAAATGGCTCTCATGGAAAATATTTTATTGGAAAAAATTCTTGAGAAAAATAAGTAGGTTTCTTACTTATTTTCTTATATTTGTACGTAAGTAAAAAATATTATCCTAAAAGTATTTGTATATGATCTAGACAAACACTATGGGGGATGGGATGGTGGGGATGGGGCGCTACGGGGGTGGGGTAAAGATTAAGTGACTAGGGAAGTCATTTTCCTCATTTTTAAGGAACTTGTTTTCCTAGAGAAACTGAACATGAAAATATTAGAAAGCATTTTCCTCCGTACCGAACGCACCTAAGTGATGAACTGTCCACTCCATCAGCATCCCAATATTCAAACTAAGTGAGCTTTGATCAAAAAATTAAAAATGTATACTCTCACCATTTTGATATGAGGAGAAATGGGAATTATAATTGTCGAAAACCACTCTTCAATATAAGATACAAAACTACCTAATGACAGAAGCCAAAAATGAGGACATTATAACATGTTGATCAACAAACAATCAACTGCTTGAAAGTAGAGAAACACTAAAAGATCCTAACTTTTAAACCCAAAGAATGACAACTTCAACACATCTTTCTGAATAATAAAATTTTGGATGAGTATTCAAGCACAATTAGCAAGGGAAAGAAACACAATTAATGAATAAAAATTCTGAAATTTTATAGAGCTAAACTTCAAATATAAGCACAGTAAACTACCTAACCCCATAACCCAAACTCCGAAATTTAACACATTTTCATCCAGAATCAACTGATTAGAAAGAGAGAGAGAGAGAAATACGTTGATGAATGCATGAGAGCAAGTTTGAGAGGCCCAGATTGGAGCTCAGCCCATCTATGGGTACAGACATTAATGGTGAAATCCAAGCCTTCTGAATAGAATCTTGCTGCTTTTGGTACGTCCTTGTGTAGCTGTAACACCCATCTGAATGATGCCGCCATTTTCACCCCCCATAGAGAAACAAAACACACTGTTTCTGAATTTATCCGAAGTCAGGTCGGGTCGGGTCGGATTGTAATTACCCGCTAAATTAACCCATTTTTGCTATATTAACCCCACTAGTTAACATAGTGAGTGTTCGAGTAGACGTTAAAGTTTGTCAAAAGTTAATATTTTAAATTTTCGTCAAATATTCATAAAAAAAAATAAAATAGATTTGATGTAACTATGGGGATTAGCGTAACTCAAATTTAGAGGTCAATTTTCATATTTTGTGCTATTTTTCATTTATTTCAAAATTTAGTGTATTTTTTTTAGGTGTGATTTTTGCAACTTTTTATATTGTTTTGTTTTATAGTGCAACTCTATGTTGCATTTTTTTAATAAGACTTTCTTGATATTTAAAAATAAATCCTTTTTTTTCATTATTTCTATCAAATTTAATAAGCATAAATTGTTAAATATTTGATAAGAATGAAAGGTGATAGAAAAAAATTTAAAACCTTACCTAATGAAAATTATTCCGTACCCTCAAAGGATCATTTTTGTCATTTTCTCTTAATAATTGTTCTCATGTTTCGAGGAGAAAATTTTGTAGTACAATGTCGATTATTTAATTAATTCAAAGCATATGACTAGACATAAATATTTTAAATTCTTTGGTAACATTAGAAACTTACGAATACTCCAAATTAGTTGGTTTTAAAAATTAAAATAAATTAGGAATATAATTGAAGAAGTCATGAAGAAAAATTGTTTGAATCTTTAATAATAACCTTGTCATATAAAATGAAATAAGATGAAAGAAGAGTTTGTGCAAGGTACAGCGCCTATAAGGCAAGGATTCATACCAGGAAAGTTTGGCCATAAAATTTGAAAATCTAATTTCAAGTTTGATTTTAGATGAGCATTTGTTTATAAAACTATAATTTCAAATACTTCAAAAAAAATAGGATTTAATATTTTAATGTGATTTCAAAACTTTTTAAATAAAAAACTTGATTCATAAGCTTATATTTTATTTTTAAAAAAAAACTTATACTCCATATGAAGAGATTGTCTACACCATGTAGGAATATTTTATCAAAGAATAGTTAATATTGATAATGTTGATTTATTGGACCAATGAATCTTTGTAAATGTGCGTATCTAAAAATTTGAAATAATATGTACTTGCAAATATTTATTTATAAAAGGAATATAGAGACGTCTGATTTATTAATTCACACATTAGAATATTGTATAAGAGGAGAAATTGAGATAGTTTTCACAAATTATGAAGGATTTATGTTTATAAAAAAATAATACAATTTAAAAAATTTAAATTGTATGTTCAAATAAAATTTTAGTTTTAAATCAATCTAATTTCAAGTCGGACTTCAAAGTTCAATTATGTCCAAATGAACCCTAAGTATGAAAACTGTTGCTTTAAAAATAATGGAGAGGAAAGTCTCTTTATCATGATATCCAACTAAAGGAAAGTTGCCGTTACTTAAATTTAGCCTTGATGAAAATTTTAGGTGATACAAAAACATCTAATGGAGGACAACATGTGAAGAGCAAGGTTGTTTATTGGACAAATCGGATGGATAATTATGCTTAAGCGTTTGGCTTATCAGATATCGAATTTTAAATATACAAATCCGCTAGCCAACCATTAAGCTATCGGTTGGTTTGGTATCGGATTAGGAATTAACGGATGGTTATCGGGCGGTGTATTGATTTCAATATTTCATGCTCCCCTTCTTTCACTTTCACTCACAATTTAGATTGATCTCTCATCAAACAAAATATTATTTGTAGCCCTACTTAAGCTGGTAATTCAGTAATTGTAAATCACAGTGAGACACATATAAAGTCTAAATTTTGAGGGTGCAAGCACTTTAATATTTACTTAATAAATATACTTATGGTAAAAATGTAACTACGATGATTCTTAACGGGTTAACAGTTTACCCAATAAGGAAATTAAGTAATCCGTCCCCGCATCGATAAACCATTAATTATAAAATTTTAATCTATTGACCAATCATTAATTCGATAATACAGTACCAATAAGCCAATAAATTAATTTTGCGATTGACTTATCAGTTACGATTCGATTTTGAACAACCCTAGTAAAGAGGAAAGGCATAATTATCTCAACACAGAGGTGTGAGAGTGGTTAGAAATAATTTCAATTGAAATAAAGATATATTGAAGAAATATTGAAGAAAAATGATTAGAAAAAACATGGTGCAACTTTAGTTTACCAATGACATGACCTTAAAAGACTATTGAGAATACGAATTAAGGTAAAAGGTTAGTAGATGGTCTAGTACAATCTCACTTATTCTTTCATACTAGTAGACATAGTCACTCTTGTAGATTCTTGTTCCTTCGACTTCTATTTCTGTTACTATCTATTGTTCCTGGCTAGTTGCAACAATCACCAAGAATTTTTTCAGTCTTATTAATATAAGATATTTATTCCTTCTACAAAAGTAAAATATTACTTTTTCAAATTTTTTCAAGTTCACAGAACTAAGGGGCCGTTTGGTTATTGGTTAGAGTTATGCATGTATTAGTTATGCAGGGTTTAGTTATGCAGATATTAGTTATGCAGGGTTTAGTTATGCAGGGTTTAGTTATGCATGGTTCAGTTATGCAGATATTAGTTATGTATGTATTATTTAGTTATGTAGAGATCACAATTCTAAATTATTAACTATTAAATATTGAATTTATTGCAAATTAATATATATATATATATATATATATATACACACACACACGCACAAATAAATAAATAAATAAATAAATAAGCAAATAGTATAAATTCTCCCACTTTTTTCAATAAAAAGTAAAGAAATTTTTTTTCCCTCTATACTTAATTGGGACCGCTATTTTTTCTTTTTGTTGTTTTTTTATGTTTATAACTTATACAAATAAAATACGATTAATGTATTTCAAGTACATTATAATATCCTATTTTATATAATGTAAATATTCTATTAATATGTAGTATATATTGTTTATACATTTTTAATATACCAAATATAGAAATTATGTATAAATTCACATCCTAAACAAAATAATAATACATGTTAATTAAATAAGTGGAATATATTTAATAATATATAACCTTAATATATGATTAACATATGTGCCAGCAAAGCATATACCATTCAATTTGTAATATTAATAAAATATTACATTTGGATTCCAAATGAAAACAGGAAAAAGAAAAGTTGCTCGTGAATTAAAAAAAAAGTTAGGAAAATAGTATAGTTAGGTAAAGTTTTCAATAAAAAAAATTTAAAGTAAATGAATAGGGGTAAATGTGTAATTTACTATTTTAATATATATATATATAATACCTGCATAACTTATTTCACTTTCTACCCTGCATAACTTATACATAGATTCCCTCATAAGTTATGTTGGTATTAATTATGTAGCACTACAAAAAACACAACCAAACACCGCATAAAATTAATACATGAATAACTTTTATACAATATTTGGAATCCTACCAATCAAACATGGTATAAGTTCATATTGACTTTTCCACTTAATACAAAACTTCTACCAAACATAGTAAAACTAATGCAACTATTTATACATGAATAAAATGCAACTTATACCGTAACCAAACGACCCTTACGTGTACCAAGTGTGGAAATAGAAGGCTAATGTTCTCTAGTTAAATGGACTTCCTTCCACATAGGGAATAATACATATCCCCAGCAGATTAGACTGCAAGAAGTAAGAGACATAAAAATAAGGGATAAGGCACAAGTACCCCTAGATTATAATCGAAATTCAGAGACACACCTTAATTAAACTAAGGTCATATTATCCCCTGGAACTCTATTATTATTTTTTTGTAATTTTATACACCTTTTGGCTTATGTGGCACACTCCACGACTCCACGCAATTGAGGTGCATGGAGATATTTGGATGCCACGTAAGCAAAAAGGTGCACAAAATTACAAAAAAAATGGGTTTTGGGGGTAATAGGACCTTAGTTTAGTTAAGGTGTGTCTTTGAGATTTCGGTTATAATCTAGGGGCTACTTATACCTTATCCTAAAATAACACTACCATGGTACGAAACAATTGCTTTCAGAACAGAGCATAAAGGGAGAGAAAGAAGCAACAAAATAGCTCATCCATCCATTGATGCCACAATCCTAAATAGTTTAGACCTAACAGAACCAAGTAAATGAGACCATTCCAAATCTGATTAAGGTAGGTTAACTTCAGATGCAAGCAACAATGCCCCTCCCCTACAACCTTATGTATGAAAAAGTACAAAAAGTTACCAATAGATAAATGGGCATCTCCGAGACTAACTCGTGTTGTACAACAAAAATGCTAAACGAATCAGGCAAAAAGAATCCACCGAAACAATAACAAAGAAACATTGGTTATCTGTTGTTGGATTACTTCCTTGATTTCTTCCTGGAAGATTTGGATGAAGCCTTTGATTGCACAGTGCTTGCATTCTGAGGGCCTCCTTTTGGATTAGCTGGCTGGTTTGATTTTGTATCACTATTGCTCGCTGCCTCTTTAGCCACTGCACCTTGAGAACCTCTAACTTGAGCTGCTCTCTTATCCTTTCTCTTTGGTCTGTAACTAGACCTCTCCCTCTTGGGAAGCCACCTCTCTGGATCAGGTGGAGGTCCTGGATTAGCTGGGTCAAACCCCTTTGGATATTTTGGCTTTCTCTTCCTCTTTTTCTTTGCCTTATCCTTACTCTTCGCTTCGTATGTTTCAGTGACACCAGCATTCGGGCCTTTCTCGGCATGCTTGGCACCAGAAGTTTTCTCCAAACTGTCGACATCTATTGCTTTCAAACCAGGTAGTGGTTTTAACTGCTTCTCATAAGCTTCTGCTTTCTCAATGTCACCATGGGCTGCAGTCTGGATTAATCCAACTAAAGCCTCAATACTTCCATGGCTTTTCACTAGCTGCTCATAAAGGCGTGCTGCCTCCTCTTTCCTTCCATGCCTGAGCTTGAAA